GTGCCGGAAGTCTGGAGGTTGGCTAATGTGGTGCCATTTTTTTTTTTTATAAAAAGAAAAGTGGTAAGGAAAAGCCAAGGAACTATAGACTGGTGAGCCTGATATCGGTGGTGGGCAAGTTGGTGAGAATCCTGAGGGACAGGATTTGCATGTATTTGGAAAGGCAACGAGTGATTAGGGATAGTCAGTATGGCTTTGTGCATGAGAAATTGTGTCTCACTAACTTGATTGAGGTTTTTGAAGAAGTAACAGAGGGTTGATGAGGGCAGAGTGGTGAACATGATCTATATGGACTTCAGTAAGGCGTTCGACAAGGTTCTTCATGATAGACTGGTTAGCAAGGTTATATCACATGGAATAGAGGTAGAACTAGCTATTTGGATACAGAATTGGCTCGAAGATAGAAGACGAAGGGTGGTGGTGGAGGGTTGCTTCTCAGACTGGAGACCTGAGACCACAAGGATCTGTGCTAGATCCACTGCTTTTTGTCCTTTTGCATAAATGATTTGGATGTGAACATAGGAGTTATGGTTAGTAAGTTTGCAGATGACACCAAAATTGGAGGTGTAGTGGACAGCAAAGAAGGATACCTCAGAGTACATCTTTGTCAGATGGGCGAATGGGCTGAGGAGTGGCTGATGGAGTTTAATGTAGAGAAATGTGAGGCGCTGCATTTTGGAAAGGCAAATCAGGGCAGGACCTATATACTTAATAGTAAAGTCCTAGGTAGTGTGCTGAATAAAGAGACCTTTGGAGTGCAGGTTCATAGTTCCTTAAAAGTGGAGTCACAGGTTGATAGGATAATGAAGAAGGTGTTTGGTATGTTTGCCTTTGTTGGTCAGTGCACTGAGTTTAGGTATTGGGAGGTCATGTTGCATCTGTACACGACATTGGTTAGGCCGCTATTGGAATACTGTGTGCAATTCTGGTTTCCCTGCTATAGGAAGGATGTTGTGAAACTTGAAAGGGTCCAGAAAAGATTTACAAGGATCTTGCCAGGGTTAGTGGGTTTGAGCTATAGAGAGAGGCTGAATAGACTGGGGCTATTTTCCCTGGAGCATCGGAGGCTGAGGGGTGACCTTATAGAAGTTCTTAAAAAAATCACGAGAAACATGGATAGGGTAAATAGACAAGGTCGCTTCCTTGGTGTGGGGAAGTCCAAAAGCAGAGGGCATAGGTTTAAGATGAGAGGGAAAGGGTTTAAAAGGGACATAAGGAGAAACTTTTTCACGCAGTGGGTGGGGAGTGTATGGAATGAGGTGCCAGAGGACACGATGGAGGCTGGTACAGTTACAACGTTTTGAAAAGGCATCTGGATGGGTGTATGAATAGGAAGGGTTTAGAGGGCTATGGGCCAAATATTGGCAAATGGGACTAGATTTATTTAGGATATCTGGTCGGCATGGACAATTTGAACTGACGGGTCTGTTTCTGTGCTGTACATCTCTATGACTCTATGCCATGCCACCAGTGAAGTAATTAAAATCGGGGATCGTTGAGGCTAGAGTTAGATGAGTGCAGAGATATTGGGGTCGTGGAACTATAGGAGACAAAGTGATGGGAAACAGCAAAGAATTATTGCTTGACCAGGAACCATTGTATTTCTGTGTTCACCAATCATCCTAGTGTTCACTATGTGAGTGAGTCTTGGTATGAAATAGGACCACAGCAGCAGAGATTTGGATGACCTCAAGTTTGAGGGGAAAATTAAGAGCGATCACTAGGGAGTGTGTTGGAATGGTACTGTGTAGCAGTAACAAAGCGACGGGTGTGGCTTTCAGCAGTATATGAACTGAGGGCAGGGATAAAATCTGGCTGTATTTCTGGTGGTGCACAGCATTAGAACACCAACGTGTGACTACACGCTTAAAAATATGAATTTAATACACATTAACTGGGTGTTTAGGATTAATTGTTTCATTTAAAAGTAAAGTCAACGTAGTGCTACAGACCATAACGCTGGTCTCATTAGAGAGTGACAGTTGGTGGTTTTACTGGATGGTCACCAAAACTACCCCAGGTGAGGGGAGAGGCTGAGAAGGAGAGTCTTTCATGGTTACATCAGCCAGTACGGGAATTGAAACCATGCTTTTGGCATAACGCTGCATTGCAAACCAGCTATTCAGCCAAGAGAACTAATCAACTCCCTACTCTGCTACCAAGAATGCAGAGCACAGAGCATGTGCTTCGCTGCAGCAAAGTTTCAAATTGAGGCATTGTAACCTCTTATAATACCACTTCCAGTAGTTAATTAAATAATATTATTTGCTGGGGCCATAAAACAGGTTTTCTTTTCATCCCCCAGATTAATAGTGATGTAAAGAAAGGCAGTACAGCATTTTTAATGGCTGTCAGAGCAGCAAAAGGATGCTGCTTGCTTTTCATTGCATTTGCAGCTGCCCACAAACTTTTTGCAGACTTGAGAAGCAACTTTCGATTTTTGATTTTTATTTTGATTTTTTGTCACGTGTACTCCAGTATAAAAACACACGAGTACAATGAATAGTGTATAATGTCACTGCACAAGGTGCCATCTTGGGTACAAGTATCTTGGTACAGAAAATTGAGAACAGGGTTTAAAGAAAGAACAAAGTTAAAAGTTAAGCATTGCACTGCATATAGCGTAAAAAATACGAAGTAAGGTCGAAAATCACACATTGCAGATCTCCTTAGTTTTAAGTAGAAAATAAAGAAACAAAGCTGAAAGTTCAAACATTACAATCTTTAAGTGTTTGGCCCTGGTGGGACTGCACTTGAGGAATCACCTGAAGACCAGAAGTCCATGCTGAGGTCATGCCGGACCAAATGCTGCATTTGCAGCATTTGGATTTCCTTCCTCCGCGCCTCCACCCCGCCACCCCCAGATGTAGTATGCTCATCAACAACAATAACCTACATTTTGTGTCGCAACTGCAAAGTATAAAAATATTCCAAAATCCTTCCTCCTGTGAGCATGACAAGCAATAGTATCTCTTCAAGAAACCTCACTGAAATGAGCAGTTTAAATTGGGAAATCTAGAACAGAATATTTAATTCAATATTTTTATAGCATACTGAAGAAAAGGGAACAGAATAAATTGAATGGAAGAGGAATAGGTTTTGTTTTAATAAAAAAAATTTAAAACTGAGTTCTGGAGGAATAAGAATTTTTCAAATGTAGAACTTCACAGAGGTGATTTAACCCTAATTAAGACTTAATCTTGCAATTAAAAATTTGTTTGCACCAACACTTTCCAATCCTATTGTTTTCTGATGTGTTTCGTACTCATTTTAAATGTCTGTGCAGCATGATACTGTTAGCAAAGCATGTGGATGGACTGAACAAACCAGAGAGCAATTTCATGATTGCTATATTTCATATGTGTACAGATTCCTGAATTTGCTCCTTAAAGAGGAGAATGCTCAGAGTCTCCCAGTTATTCCTACCTCCGAATCTGGGTCTACTTTTCTGTTAATTAATCAAACGTCAATAAAGGTTTTGTTGTGGCACTCGCTCTATTGACCCACAAGATTCTGGATTCAGGTTCGACTCCAGGTCTTGAGTACAAAAATCAGGAGTGACACTCCTGCATAGTTCTGAGGGTGCTGCAGTGTCGGGTGCTGTCTTTCAGATGAGACATTAAGCTGAGGCCCCATCTGCCTGCTTCAATGGATATATAATATTCTGGGCACTTCTTGAAACAGCAGGGGAGTTATTACTGATATCCTGGTCAATATCTATCATTCTCCAAGTCACTGAAATGAGAATTGCATACAAATTGTCTGCAATGTTTCTTACATTATTGCAGTGATTACGGTTAAATTGTATTTCATTTGCTGCAAAATGCTTGGAGAAATCTAGTTGTGAGAAGTGCTGTATTACAACCATCTTTTTCAATAGGTCTTAGTTTAATCTACTGATGAATGATTGTCATGGATTAGTTCATTTGCCACTTTACGGCCGGAGTTCAAATCAAATTTGGGTTTATAGAGTGAAAGTTTTGCCTCTACATGACAGATGTCAGATATCTTTGTAAATTGACTGTGACAGTGGGAAAGATGAATCTAGTCCAGTGTGCAAAAGTAATAATTGGCTCCCCCTAATGGATTAACTTGAAAAGGAACCTACTGAATTGGTGTTAATCCACACAGACACAAAAGGTGACATCCTAGTGTTGACTTAAATGATATCAATTGTGGCAGTTGAGAATCTGTACTTTCAATATAAATTTAAAAATGAAGGATGATGCACGTCTCCAGCAAGGAAAAAATTGCCAAAGCAGGCGACACAGATCGGCACGAATAGGTTGGGCCCGTTCCAGTTTGAATGGTATTTTGGATGATTGAGCATTTGACCAACGTTATGATGCTTGTGGTATCTATGGAGCCGCACATATCTGGACTGTCAGAAAAGATGAATCAAATTTGGTAATTTTTTTTTCAAAATATGTTGATAGTACTAGTCATAAATAGTGGGGAAAGACATGAATTAATGTTCCTGTTAAAGATGGTGTATGAGAAACAGAAGTGTACAGTCAGTGATTCTTAACCGGAAATCATTGATCAAGCATCTTCCTGGAATTGTGTGAAAGAACTTATAATTATGGAGAAACTTTATTGTGTCTAACCTGAAAATGCTTTTGATTAATGCTCTGCAGTACTAAGAAGTGGAGTTGCTAAAATTTTAAGAAAATTTAGTTTTTAGTAAAAGCTCATGTTTGCAGCTACTCCTAAGTCACATTAAAGAGACTCCCAAATTCCAGTTAACATATCATATTGTGGGTGTGTTTTGCTTTTAATGTTTCACAAATGATGTTCACAGTGTTGTTTCTGTGTGTTTTGAATCATGTGGATTTCCATTTATGATGTCCATATACTTTCTGTCTTTGCATCTGCTGTCTACCAGCAGAATGTTTGATTTATTTTGTGTGGATATAATTAAATGTTAATCAAAGAACTCCCAGTATTAGCAAGCTGTTGATCATTTACACCATTTCAATAATTATGGATTTTCTTTACAGCATTGTTCACTATCATGTGTTATAATGTACTGTGCGACAAATATGCCACAAGGCAGCTGTACGGCTACTGCCCTTCCTGGGCTTTGAACTGGGAGTACAGGAAAAAGGGAATAATGGAAGAAATCGTAAACTGTGATGCAGACATCCTTAGCCTTCAGGTAAGACCAATGTTTAACAGAAAGCATGCTGCATCAGTTGAGGAGAGGATATTTATTCATGCTGTTAATGAGGTAGTTAACTAATACTTAGATTTGGAATCCTAAATAGGAGCTCTAAGTTTAAATAGTAATTTTCTTTAGTCTCATGATGCAGTATTGTATCTGGTCAGGTCCTACCATCAGGAAGAATAAAGGAGTTTGTTGAATGTGTTTGTGTACATTTCCTCACTTTCTCTTCTTCATCTACATCTTGAGCAGATGAAGCAAAGAAAAGAAGAATATGCAGCTCTGATTCCCTGTACCCAGAACTTTTTTATTTTAAAAGAAAGCTGCTTAAAGACTCATTCACTTGAGAATCACAAGGTGGATAATGAGCTCTTAATGTTCCATTAATTTAGAAAATGCCAAAAATTGAATCTTTCAGGCTCTATTTCTACAATTCAACAAATTTGGAAGCCTCATGTAAACCATTTGGAACAATTTGACATTTATTTCCTAAAACTCAAGCTTTGCTGTTCTGTTTCTTCTCCAGCTGGTTCTGTAATTTCAAAGATGTGGTTGTTCTGCTAAAGCAGTTTGTATGACACCTAGATTTGCTGATTTACTGTTGGTCTTTCATGCAGTATTAAGATTTTGCACAAAAAATAATAATAGGCATAATAAAAGATTAGCTCAGTGGGATGCAGTGATGGGTGTTCTGGAACTTCTGTTATGAGTTCAAAAACTTCTTCTGGCATGTGAGCAGCCTTTTATCTTGTGTGTGTTGTGTCCACTTCTGTGTGTCAGTCTTCCTTTTTCCAGCAGATGTGCATCAAGGGAGAGGAAAAAAACGGCCTTTTTTGTCTCCCTAAACTCTCTGTTTCAAAGCATTTGAATAACAATTAAAATATTTCTCCGAGAATAAATCTGTATATAGTGTAAAGTTAATCAAACAACAGATGAGACAGATTTTTGGGATCAAACATTAGATCTTGTGGAATCGGCCAACACTGTTGAGGTTGCAAATTGAGTATTTTGCATCTGTCATTACTAAGCCAAGGATTTTACTCACCATGAAAGGGGAAAGCAGTAGAAAATTGGAATTGTATAAAAGCATTGAGGTGGGTTTCAAAATATTGTTAGTGTGCAAAGTGGTAAAATTGAATCTGAATTGGATACATCCTAGATTGCTGAGGGAATTAAAAGTGAAACCGTGGAGGCTCTGGACACAACCTGCCAATTCCTCTTTGATAAAGTAGTGGTACTGGAGAATTGCAAATATTAACACTTACTTATTTGAAAAATGAGTACAATACACAGTTAAGCCTAACAACTACAGATCTATTAACCTAGTGTAGGTGATGAGACAATTTGGTGAAGATTTGGCTTGGGTTCGGGGTATACATAAACAATAAATCCAGCCATGATTTGTTAGAGAGAAACATGATTTGTTAAAAATAAATCATAATTAACAATACTGCTTTGAAGTATTTAAACTGGCTCAGTGAGGGTATTAGGAATGATGTCTATATAAACTTTTTTTAAAAAGGTGATCTATAAAGCGCTGTTGCAGACTTGTTGGCAAAATCTGAATCACGTGGGTTAAAGGAGCAGTGGCTGTACTAGTGAATAATGGCTCCGAAACAAAATGTAGTAGTGGTAAACACAGATTTGAGATAAATATATCATATAATATTGCATGAGAAGTCGATGTTTGAATCATCAATCTTTGTTGATTTTATTTATGGCTTAAACTTTTGTGCGGGCCATAATTTCAAGGTTGGTTGGTAGATAGCCTGAAAATTTAAAGCCTTATGAGCCGTAAGGAACATAATCAGGAGGATATCAACTGGTGAAATAAACTGGCTCACGGAAATGCAAGTTAATGAACTGTAATGTGAAGCATTTAATTTCAGTAGGAAGGATGAAGTGAGCAAATATAAACCATTACAATTTTAGAAGAGCAGGAATGGAAAGACTTTGGGGTGCACATCTCTTGGAAGTGGATGGACATATTGAAAATGCTGTTTTTAAAAATATAGACTAGATGCTTGCCTTTTATAAATAAATGTCAAAGTCCAAAAATACTACAAAGTCATGTTAAAATTTTATAACATATTAGTCCAGGTATGCGTAAGTTAGGTGGATTAGCCATGGGAAAGCAGGGTTACAGGAATTGGTGGGGGGTGGGATCTGGGTGGGATGCTCTTTGGAGAGTCAGTGTGGACTTGATTGACCGAATGACCTGTTTCCATACTGTAGAGATTGTATGATAATTCTGTGATGATTCTGGGCACTGTTCTTTTGGAAGTATGACCAGAATAGGAGTTTTACTAAAATAGTAAAAACTGTAAAAATGTCCAGTTCTGTCTTTACAACTATCAGCACAAAGGATTGGTTTTGAATCTACATCTGTCAGGAGGGCCTCTGTTGGCAGAGGCTCATTATGTAACTTAAAAGTAGAAATCAGAACAGGATGATGGGTCCTGAAAAATCATAACACCTGTACATTTGGCTCAGCAACAAATGTATAAGTTATACTAGATGTAATTGCCCACGTAGGAGCTTCACTAACTTAAGTGATTTGTAGCCTGTCAACTTGGGATTGTCACATTCAGATTTCTGCATGGACTGTATTGGCTTGTTATTTGATCAAATAGACAAATGAGGAAAACCTTTTGCCAAGGAGACTTTGAACATCCTGCTTAAATAATACTTCTGTCAAATGATGGTGTCACAACTAGGCAATTTATAAGTAACTGCTAGCATTTTTAAATTGGATTAACCATTGAGAATTGGAGACCAGTTGCGCTTTTGATTAGATCTAGAGAAACCTGATTTGTTTTGACATGCTGATTTGTAAATACCAAATTGAACCATTAAAAAATTTTGCTGATTTGTTGGATTGCAGCTTCCTCCTCATTCTCTCTTTATTTTTCACCTTCCTCAGCCCTGTCTTTTCTTTCTAACAAGGGAATTTACAGAGAGGGTGGTTTACAGAAAAATGGTGAGCGAGGAAAAGCTACCAGGAGATTTTCTGTGAATTATCCACATGGGGTCAGAGAAATTTTAGGTGCTTTCTCTTTCCTGGCTAAAAGCTTCTCTTGATCTGTCCATCATACAAAGCTGTAGCCACTTGACCATGAGCCAATCAAGACATTGTCACAATGCGGAGTTCTTTCTAGGAAGAACAGACAAGAAGAAAAACAAGATGGGGTAGCATTGCTGTCAAAACAGTAAGCACAATCATGAAGAAGGGTATTGGCTCTGGTGAGGTAGAATCTGTATGAGTAGAGCTCAGAGACACGAAGGGACCAAAAACTCTAATGGGCATTGTATATAGACCCCCAAATGTAGTGCTAACATTGGGGAAGACATTAAACAGGAAATTGGAGAAACGAGCAATAAATGTACAGATGTAATTATGGTTGACTTTAATCTGCATATAGACTGAGCAAATCAAATCAATAACCACCATAGAGGAAGAGTTTCTGAAATATGTTCAAGTTGGTTTTTTTAGATCGGTCTGTTGGACTAAGTAGAGACAAGCCATCCAAGACTGGGTATTATGTAATGAAAAAAGGAATAATTGACAATCTGATATTGCAAGGCTCCTTGGGAAAGAGTGACCATAAATAGAACAGAGAGTGATGTAGTTGATTCTGATACTGTGGCCCTGAATCTAAATAAAGGATTGTAAATAGAAAACTTGTTTTGGATCCAGGTTTGTAAGCCTTTTCTGTGAAATTTGTAATGATTGCCAGGAATTACATTTCAAAATGATTACATTTGCCTTTTGATTTGTACTCAGTCCTAATGTTTTGTGTTTTAATAGATGTTCCAAACTTAAAATGTTTTTGTTTTTTATTAATAGGAAGTAGAAACAGAGCAATACTTTAACCTCTTTTTGCCCGAGTTGAAGCAACGTGGATACGATGGGTTCTTCTGTCCAAAATCTCGTGCCAAATTGATGTCAGAGCAAGAAAGAAAGCATGTTGATGGATGTGCAATATTCTTCAAAACAGAGAAGTACGTGTAGACACTTGGCTAATGTACTGCTTATGCCCTGGTCATCCACTGTTGATTGTTGTTTTGGGTTTGTTAAAGTGTAACCTTTGTCAATTTTATTTGGACCCTGATGTAGGTGTTATTAATTGCGCTAATCACGTACTTTGACTTTCACTGTCAACAGAATACAGCTGTATTCTGAACTTTTGAAACTTCATGAATTTACAGTGCAGGCTTACAAAGTAATATAAAGACGAGAATGGATGAAAGGCTATAAACTAATTTTAGTGTTAATGTGAAAGATTTTGGGGTTTATTATCTTTCTAAAGCACTGAAGAAATTGCTCTTTCTAAATATTTTATCCTATGAACAAGGAACAAGAGTAGGCCTCTCGGCCCTTCGAGTCTGCTCCACCATTCAATGATATCATGGCTGACCTAATTTTATCCTCCACTCTACATTTTAACCACAATAATCTTTTAACCACCTTGCTAACCAAGAATCTATCTACCTCTCCTTTAAAAATAATTTAAGATTCTACATCCGCTACTTTTTGAGGATGGGAATTCTAAAGGCACTCAACCCTCCTGAAAGAGAAAAGGTTTCCCCATCTCTGGCTTAAATGGGCATCTCCTTTTATTTTTAAACTATGATCTCTCATTCTAGATTCTCCCACAGGAGGAAATATCCTTTCCACATCCACCCAATCAACTGTTTGCAGGATCTTTTATGTTTCAATTAACTCACCTCTGACTCTCCTGAACTCCAGAGGATATAGGGCTAGCCTTTCCTCAAGGCAGTCCACTTATTTCAAGTATTAGTCTAATAAACCTTCTCTAAATTGCTTTCGAAGCATTAACATTCTTCCTTAAGTACAGTGACCAGTGATGTATACAGAACTCCATATGAGTCTTCCCAATGCTATGTATTACGGAAGTGTATGTTCTCTACCCTTGCGTTCAATTCCCTCACAAGAAAATGTGAAATTCTATTAGTTTTCCTAATTACTTGCTATAACCACATGCTAACCGTTTTGTGATTCATGCGCTGAGATGCCCAGATCTCTCTGCATCTCAGAGCACTGCAATCATTTGCCATTTAAATAATATACTCCTTTTTTTTTCTGCTAAAATGGGCAATTTCACTTTTTTTTTCCACATTTTACTCTATTTGTCAAATTGTTGCCTATTCACAACTTGTCTGTACCCCTTCGTAGGCTTCTGATGTCCTCTTCACAACTCCCATTGTTCCCTATCTTTGGGTCATGAGCAGATTTAGCTATCATACCTTTGGTCCCTTCATCCAAATTGCTAATATAAATTTGTGAAGTGATGAGGTCCCAGCACCGGACTCCTGTGCAATATCACTCCCGACGCCTGCCAACCTAAGAAAGACTTATCTATTCCTAATCTCTGCTCTCTATTAGTCAGCCAATCTTCGAGACAGGTCAGTATGTTACCCCAATACCATAAGCTTTTATTTTCTGCAATGATGTTTGATGTGGCATCTTATCAAATGCCTTCTGCAAATATAATTACAGTACATCACTGGTTTTCCTTTATCTACAGCACAAATTACTAATTCAAAGAATTCTAATAAATTAGTCGAACATAGTTTCCCTTTTATAAAACTATTTTGGCTCTGCCTTAAACTTATCCAAATGCCTGGTTATAATGCCATTAATAACTTCTAACAACTTCTCCTTTCCATGTCCTTTTTGCAATTACTTGTCAGCTGCTCACATTTTATATGTAGTAATTGTAATCTGCTATTTGAGGGAGCGCTTAAATATTTACATAGCACTAGATCTTCCAATTAGAAAACTAGTTGCAGTGAATTTAAGTGCATGCCATTCCAGGCTACAGTTGCACACTTCTGATAATGCTGTATGTACTTTTCTGCCTAATGCACAGTGCACAATCAATTGTTTACTGACTTCATGGTGGTTAAGTGCTGTTTCTAGAGCATTGTGATATAATTTTAAAATGGATCTGACCTAAATACTGTGAAGTATCGAAATACAAGCGAATTCTTGGAAGAATGAAGTAAAAATAAGTGCACTGCATATATAGTCATAAGCCATAGAACATAGAACAATACAGCACAGTACAGGCTCTTTGTCCCACGATGTTGTGCTGAACTTTTACCCTAAACCTAATGTCTATCTAACCTCCACCTCTACCTTATACTATCGTCCATATGCCTATCTAATAGCCGCTTAAATGCTCTTAATGAGGCCGACTCCACGACCCTCTCCAGCAATGATTCCACGCCCCTACCACTCTGAGTAAAGAACCTACCTCTGATGTCTCCCCTATATCTACCTCCACTCACTTTAAAACTATGCCCCCTCATAATAGCTACCTCCACCCTAGGAAAAAGTCTCTGGCTGTCCACTCTATCTATACCTCAGCCATATTGTGAAGTTAATAGTTAAGACTTGAATAACATTTGTTTTTGTATACGAGTGTAAAAACTTGTGTCTTCATAGTATATTAGAATCTGTACAGTGCCTAGAGAGATCATTTTGCCCAGCAAAGAGTGTCTGACCCAGACTTAGCCCCCCACTATCCTCATAATCCCGCATTTAGCATGGCCAATCCACCTACTTACACATCTTTGGCCTGTGGGAGGAAACCAAAACACCCTGTGGAAGCCTAAGCAGACATCGGGAGAATGCACAAACACCACACGGTCAGCCAAGGCTGAAATCAAACCTGGGTCCCTGGCACTGAGAGGCAGTAGTGCTAACTACTGGGCCATCTTGCTGCCCAGCCTTGAAACTCGTTCAAGAAATGAGGTTTTGAATTTCTCTTTAAATCTGAATGGTCCCTAACTGGATCAGAACAGTGTTTTCAAAAACCTTAGGTGGTATGAGATACTTGGACGTTTCATTTTGAGCCAGAATGACCCTCGAGAGTGGAACCTGCTGCAAGCTTAAAGTTAGATTTGAACATATATCCATTCAAGTGAGCCTTCTGCCCATTTTCAGTTACACCTACCTCTTGGTAGGATGTCTCTGAATGTAAATTAGCAAAAATCGGACACTGTCCTTATTTGAGTCTGAAAATTGGAGATTTGGCTTAGTTATCCATCATTCTCATACATTGAGCACTGAATATTCAGGAATCTGTTGTCAGGAAAAGCTCCGGTTTCTTGTGAGGCATCTTGACTCTTTTAAGAAAGGTAATTATATTACAGTCTCTTGAGGATAAAGTTGTAAAACAAATCTAAAACATGGCAATAAATCACAAGAAAATTATCTTATTTCTTGCTGTGCTTGCAAATCATGTAATTTGAAGAGAGGCTCAAAGCAAGAATAATTACAAGAAATCAAGGATCCTTCATTTGTAGATGGGCTATTACTGTGGTCACAATGGATTCAGTAGGCCGATCAATAGAAAACTGTAACAAGTCAAGAATGTTTGGGTGTGTACATGGGTAGCTCATTAATGCTAAATGTTCTTGGCTATTTTAAGATGAGTTTTTTAGTGCATATCTCTGGGTACCAATATGGAGGAAATTCCAAAGATAATGGATAAGAATAAATAGATGGGTCTCCGTTTTCTTAATCCATAACACAATTTTCTGCTGTTTACTTCACCATTATATCTGACCACCTGTATGTTTTAAACATGTTATAAGCCACCCCTACTCTGGGTATTCCTATTGAGTCTTTTGTGAAGAGGAAAAAGACAAGGTGCGTACTTAATAAGTAAATGACTGCAAACATTTGTCAGATGCTCACATTTTACATGTAGTAATTGTAATCTACCACTTGAGGGAACTTTTTTTTAAATATTTACATAGGACTAGATCTTCCAGTTGGAAGACAAGCATTGCATTGTATCCTGAAAGATGCGTATGATACTCTTCAAGTCCTTACTCACTAACTCGTCAGAGACATCCAAGGGTTCCAGCACATTTACCTGAATAGTTATACAGGAACGTTGGAATAATTAAAATCTATTTTAACTCTTCCCCGATCTTCACTGTAACCCCCTCCAAAATAAAGTGATCCAACCACTCCCTCACCCACATATATGCCGCACTCACTTTGTCCCCACAGCTTTTTAATGAGCTGTGGGATCTTTAATCCTGGTGATGTAGAAAATATGGCATTTATATACTTAAAAGGAGATGTGGCTAGCTCCTTGTGCACTTATTTTGAACATGTTTAATACTGTAAGACAACTGGTGCATTTTCTATAGTTCTTGTTACATAAGTTTTAATGTATTTCTCCTCTACATCATCTGTAGGAACTTTTATCTTGGTTTCTGGTCATTTAACTTATATATAACCTGAGTTGTTTGTATTCCCATTGTAGACTCTAAGGGACGTGAGCCTAGACCTGTGGGGTAATTAGTGACAAATGCATCTTTTTATCATCTGTACACCCTATCACCCTATTACCATGACTTGGAATGAAGTCACTGATGTAGTCACTTCTTATTGTATCTCTATCTGCTAAAGAATTGAGATCAGACGGACCAAAAATAATGTCTGCTATATTCAGTGCTTTCCCATTCAAAATTATGGCATTTTGAAGAACAGTCTTTCCCTAGATGTGGGTGACACTAAGACTAAGATTCGTAGAATATTAGAATCCCTACAGTATGGAAACAGGCCCTTCGGCCCAACAAGTCAGGGGGCGGCACAGTGATTAGCACTGCTGCCTCACAGCACCAGGGACGCGGGTTCAATTCCACCCTCGGGCGACTGTTTGTGTGGAGTTTGCACATTCTCCCCGTGTCTGCGTGGGTTTCCTCCAGGTACTCTGGTTTCCTCCCACAGTCCAAAGATGTGCAGGGTATGTGGATTGGCCATGCTAAATTGCCTATAGTGTTCAGGGATGTGTAGCTTAGGTGGGTTCTAAGGGGATGGGTCTGGGTGGGATGGTCCAAGGGTCGATGTGGACTTATTGGGCCGAAAGGCCTGTTTCCACACTTTAGGGATTCTATATAAATCTATGTAAACTCTATGTAAGTGCACACCGACCCTCAGAGTATCCCACCCAGACCCATCCCACAAAGACCCACCTAATCTACACATCTCTGAACACTACAGGAAATTTAGCATGGCCAACCCACCTAACTTGCACATCTTTGGACTGTGGGAGGAAACCGGAGCACCCGGAGGAAACCCACGCAGACACGGGGAGAATGCGTAAACTCAACAGACAGTTGCCCAAGGGTGGAATTGAACCCGGGTTCCTGGTGTGTTCATTTCTGGACAGACTTATTAAAGTCTTATCCTTTTGACTGTACTTTTACAATATTGCTTGAATTTGTGAAACCTGTAGTTTTGAATTTGTTGTGATTTGTAATAACATTTTTCTATGTTGATTTTAAATAGTTTTCAGTCCTCTGTTTCTTTCCTTTTTTGATTTTTCTCCTCTTCCTCCCTCACAGATTTGCATTGGTGCAGAAACACACAGTGGAATTCAACCAGTTGGCAATGGCCAATTCGGATGGCTCTGAAGCCATGCTAAATCGAGTGATGACAAAAGATAATATTGGGGTCGCAGTGCTTTTAGAGGTCCACAAGGATCTTTTTGGAGGTACCTGCTTTATACTGTTAACACTGCAATTGAAAACCAGCTAATTGACCAGCTATTTAGATAAAACTAGTGCATGAAGATTTGACCAACATCTGATTGGGGGCATAATTCAGATGTCTGGCTGATGTTCTTGATGGAAAAACAAAATGCTTTGCTACCACTAATAAGATTAAATTCATGATCAATTTATTATTATTTTCCAACTTGCATCAAAAAGCTTTCATTCAAACTTGTGTATGGTGCATATAGAAAGCAAGTTACGTACTTGCATTTCTTCCTTTTTTGACTCCTCCAATCGTTTCCCCATTTCCTTTTAAATAAAACAATGGATTGTAGGCCTTTTAATGCTAATTCCAGGAAATTTGCTGGAGGTGAACCAGCACCACCCATAGTGACTTTAAAAAAAATTAATTTTCTTACAGAATATGTTGTATTAACATAAATATGATCGATATACTCAAAGAACAATGTCTGTGAAACAAACAATATTTTTGATTCTATTCCTTTTTATTCATGCTGTTTTGTAAATGTTCAATACATATATAACTGAAGATGTGTCGCAGATGCCTGAGAATGACTGACTGAACTGTTCCGAGTTTTAAAAAAAATGTAGGGTTATCTTAAGAATCCAGTCATTCGCATTGTTTTACTCTCCATAAAACACGTGTGTGTATGTGGACATTTTTTCAAAAGTAATCACAGTGATTGTAAATATGAGCATAATTTTGTACATTAGAAGGGGAAACCAGAAGTGGGGTAAATGCCATTGAGTGCTTTTGTATCTACAAAGGATGCTTTTCATTCTTCTTCATTTGGAAACACCTATATTAATGTCTAACGGACAAATTTAGCTATGCCTTCTGTTAATCAACTATCCTAAAGGTAGCTCATCGGTTTGTAAAGTGGACCAATTGTCATAACATTGCTGGGTAGGAATGTGGTGCCAAGCTAGGGTGGGTGTGTACGTAGGTGTGCCTGTTTGTGTGTGTGTCTGTCTCTTTGTCGGTCTGAACTGGAAGAGATTGTGATCTGTCTGAGGTCATTGATTAAAAGAGCTTTGTAAGGAGATATTTTGTACAACTTCCAGCCAATTTTTCAAACACTTCCTTCAGTCCTTTTTCTATAGTCACTTTGTTCGGGAGCTATCTAGTCTTTCTCCTTCTCTCTTCCAATCATCACCATCACAATCAATAAATGAAATACTGTCTCAGTGAGCTCTTCCATTGGAATTGCCTCGGTTAAGTTTTTTTTTCCTTGTAGGAAGAAGAGAAGCACCATTGGAGAGTTGAAAGACCGGCCAAGCTTGATATTTTCCTATAGCACTTGATTTGACCACATTTTACAAATTTGGGTTAAAATAACTATGCCTTGGATCTGAGTCAGAAGGTCCTGGTTTAAAGCCCTACTCCTGAGATTCAAGCATATAATCAAGACAACTGTTTCTGTACAGTACTACTTTAGTATTATGCTGTTAAAGGTACCAAATTTCAGAATGTTAAGCTAAGGCCCCAGTTTGGCGCCTCGGGTACGTGTAAAAGATTCAATGCCTGTCTTGCTGTCTCAAAATACAATGTTGTTCTGGTGTCCAAACCAACATTGGACTCTCAGGTTGCAACTAAACAAATGGATCATTTCATTAATTGGTGTTTAGAGTTTGACTATTGTCTTTGCTACGGTACAGCAGTGACTTCAAAACAACTTTTTTGCCAGTAATGTGCCCTGGATTAAAGGTGCTATACAAATGCAGGTTTGCTTGTTCTGTCAGTTGTTGCATGCCCTAAAAGTATCATCCATTTTAGGTGTGAAGACACTTCAAGGAACAGAAAAGCAGCTCATTCTGGTCGCCAATGCACACATGCACTGGGATCCTGAGTATTCTGATGTGAAATTAATCCAAACCATGATGATTATCTCTGAACTCAAAACCATTCTAGAGAAGTCAGCTGCTTCCCTTAGGCCAAGCTGCCCTTCTGCAGATCCTAACTGCATCCCATTGGTGCTGTGTGCAGATCTCAATTCACTGCCAGATTCAGGTAAAACCATCAAGATAATTTACAGTGACTGTTATCTCTTGCTGTGCATATGAATTTGGAAAGAAAATCTGTATAAATTTTGTTCGGATTTTGAGTAAAGTCAACTCTCTCTGTTCCTCATAATTGAAATATTTGCCCTTCAGTCCAGATCAATTTTGTACATTTGAGTTACCTTTGTAAGAATGAGTGTCTTCAGGGAAAATAACACTAATCGAAATGGAATTGCAGGGAATATATTCAGTTTTGAATCTAATTATATTATACAACAATGTTTTAACTGTTTCATGCAGTTGATGTTAAATTATGTGTGTGTCTATATATCAGATCGATTTATAGAATAGATGTTATTGCAAAGCAAATTGTAAATCAAAGTTACCAACATTCAATCTATCAACTGCATGCATTGCTGATTGTTATTTAGGTGTTGTGGAATATTTGAGCACTGGAGGTGTTGCACAGAATCACAAAGACTTCAAGGAGCTGAGATACAACGAGTGTTTGATGAACTTCAGCTGTAATGGGAAGAATGGAACTTCTGATGGTAGAATTACTCATGATTTCCAACTCAAGAGTGCTTACGAAAACAACTTGATGCCTTACACAAATTACACTTTTGACTTTAAAGTAAGTAGTATGCTGCACTGTGAGTTCTCATTGAAATGGGCTTGTGGAATCCTTTTGTAGATTAATGCTGATATTTTTCACAGTTAATTGCTAGGTGTAAGAATGATTATATAACTATTCTATTTTGCTAATAGGTGTTGAAATACTATAAAATGAAATTTTACATTCATTAAGAAAAACTGCATGCATTTTGGAAGAAAAATTGGCTCAAAATGGTGTTTCTGAACAGTTATCTTCTAACTTGTTTAACAGTACAAGGAGGTACATTTTGCATTCATTGTTTCACAGTGTTTCAGGTCCCCATTCCTCCATTCATTTAAGAACATCTGTGGTCTGGAGCCGTTCTTTAATTATCTTGTATTTCTCTTAATATTTTCAATTTAGCGCATTCTCATCTATGTAGAACTTTACACAAAAAGCATTTTAAAAATCCAAATACATCATATGTACTAGTTCTCGTTATCTGTTCTACTAATAATATCCTCAAAAAAATCTTAAGATTTGTCAAATATAATTTCCCTTTCATTTTATCCATTTTGACTTGGAAAATACCAAGGGGATTGCTCCAAGTGCCCTGTTATTTCATCCTTTACAATATACTCTGGCATTTTCCCTCCTCCCCCTGATAATAGTCTAACCAGTCTGTAATTTCCTGCTTTCTTTCTACCTCCTTTTTTAAAAAAATGGTGTGTTTGCATTTGCCACTCTCAATTTACTGCGTGTATTCCAGAATCTGCAGAATTTTGGAAGCTGCCAGAACCCCCTTCCCCTCCCCCTTTTCTGATGAAGGGTCTAGGCCCGAAACGTCAGCCTTTCTGCTCCTATGATGCTGCTTGGCCTGCTGTGTTCATCCAGCCCTGCACCTTGTTGTCTCGGATTCTCCAGCATCTGCAGTTCCTACTATCTCTGATTCAATTTTAACCCCAACCAAAACATCAGCTGTTTCCATTGCGTCCCTTAGTATCCAGAGTTATCAGGCCTAGGGTTTACCAAGTTTCAGTCCAATACTTAGAATTGAAGGAAATTATTAGTTTAAAAACTTTCTTCCCAGCTCTAACAAAGACCCTTACTTCAGTCCCTAAGTCCACAGGAAGCTTTTCAGTGGAATGATTGTCATCCTTTTCTGTTTTCCTGTAAATTCCCATCTTTTGCTTATCCCAGCAGTATCATGGCTCAATTTGAAAAGGCTGGTCAGTGAAAATAAAAGTTTCACTGTTATGTATGTGCCATGTCAGAGATGCTGCGTCCAATCTAAAATATCTTCGCACTTTATGGAGATGTTATTAGAGTGCTGCTTTATGTCTGTATGCTTGTGTTAACTGAGTTGACAACAATTTAACGTGCTGACAGTCCAGTTTTTAAGGAATCGGTTTGAGAGGTTTTTTGCAATTTTTCTTATCACATTTATCACATGGTACATATTCTTGCTGAAATCACATCATTTGGTACTTTGCCATATTCAGTCATGTGGTTGAGGATTCGTGCTGTGGTTTTATTTGAGATTGCTTTGCTTTGGCATCAAGCCAACTCTCTTTCAAGCAACCAATGGGTTTAAATGGAAGCAGCTATTTGGTTTTCAGAGAAAACACACTTGGGAAGCACTGATACTGTAAGAATACCTAAAAGTAAATATATCAATCACGAAAAAAGATGACTGCCCAACCAAATTGCTCACTTTGCAAGAACCATTGCCTTACATTTTCTTTTATAGTTTTATTCTGGCTATTGAAGTAAAATGTTTGCGCAGTGTAAGAGATTGAGGAATATAGAATTAGGGGAAGAATAATATTTTAGTTTGAAATTTGTTGAAAGGAAGAAAGTGAAGTTGGGATTAAAGGCAATTCTTCCAGAGTAATCAGAAGTCGATAATAATAGTGTCTCTCAGGTGACAGCTCCAGGGCTGTTTCTGTTCACTGAATATATAAATAACTTGGATACAAGCCAGGTGAAGTAAGTGACCAAGGGCAGCATCCACAAGCTTGTGTTTTCAAATGAACCTGTTGGACTATAACCTGGTGTTGTCTGACATCTGACCTTGTCCGCCCCAGTCCAACACTGGCATTTCCACATCCTTAATGTTAGTTCATACATATTTAGTGAGTCTGCTAAATGTGTGTACATAGCTGTTTGAACATTTCTTGCAGAGGGGCAAAACCATAAATGCGGAAGAAACAGAAATTGCTGGAGATGCTCAGCACGTCTGGCAGCATCTTTGGAGAGAAAGCAGAGTTAACTTTTTGGGTCCATTGACTGTTCTGAAGAAGGGTCATTGGGCTCAAAACGTCAACTATTTTCACTCCATAGATGTTGCCAGACCTGCTGAACATCTCCAGCAATTTTTTTGTTTTTTGTTTCAGATTTCCAGCATCTGCAGCTTTTTGTCTTACCATAAAAGGTGACAGCAATCCCAAATGGTAGTTTCCCAAGTATATTGGCAGTCATCAAGCAAATGTGAATTCATAGTTTTGAAAAACATTTGGATGGAAGCCTGAAGTTGAGCCAAAGAACTTCTGTAAACTGGAACCAGAGAATACCAGTATTATACCAAACTTTCCACTTCAAGGTTCCTTGTGGACAACATCTGAAAGTTGATATTTTTTGCACCTGGAAAAAATCTCGAGCTGATGACAGTTTAGTGATATCATCTGCTCACCCAAAAGAGTACTTCGACCTTCTCCCAGATGTTCTTCTCTTGTGTGACAGACAAAAGACAGAGTCAATTCAGAATTTAATTAAACAAACTCTTCTTTATATTGATACCTCAGAGTTAAATAAAACATATATATTTGTTGCAACTCACTCAGATAATAAGAACTGCAGATGCTGGCGTCAGAGATAACACAGTGTGGAGCTAAAGGAACGCAACAGGCCAGAAGAAGGGTCCCGACCCAAAACATCAACTTTCCTGCTTCTCTGCCTGGCCTGCTGTGCTCCTCCAGCTCCACACGGTGCTATCTCAAATTTCTTGCAATGTTTACTTCTTACTTCATTTAACTTAACTTCTATTTTAACTCACTTAATTTAAACTTACTTTAACTTAATTCACGTTTGACTCAGACTCTAACATTAACTCTAAGTTTGGCTTGAAACAAATACTACCCCAATTTGCTCTTGGTGTAGATCTTACCTTGTAGTTCTTTGTATCTCTGAAGGTAACTTCAGGGCACATACTCTGCAAACGTGGATCTCGAATGGTTACTCCTGCAAAATCCTTTGTGCTGGTAACTTTTACCCCACAGTGTGCTCGTTCTTCCAGAAACTTCTCTGGCACGCAGTCAATGAATTGACCAAACCTGATCACAACATTTGAACCCAGCCAATGGGATTTACTGGTAAACAATTCCCAAATGTTTACAGTCAATAAAATGTGGAACTGGAGAAGCACAGCAGGTCAGACAGCATTGGAGGAGCAGAAAAGTCAATATTTCATGTCTGGACCCTTCATCAGGACTGGGAAGGGGGAAGGGAGCTCAAAAATATATAGAGGGAGGGGGATGGGGCTGGGGCTGGGGCTGGGGGAAAGGTAAGTGGGATGATGATAGGTGGATGCAGGTAGGGAGTTGTAGAGATTGTTCAGTAGGAAGAGTGGAGCGGACAGGTGAGAAGGAAGACGGACAGGTTATGTCAGGTCAAGGAAGCGGGAATGAGACGGAAGACTGGACGTGGGATGTGGTGAGGGTGGGAAGATTTTGAAGCTGGTGAACTCTCAACAATTTTTCCTTTGACTCCTCTCACTTCCTATAAACCAAAGGGGTGGCTATAGGCACCCGCATGTGTCCCAGCTATGCCTGCCTCTTTGTAGGATATGTGGAACAGTCTCTCTTGGCGCAGCTGCACCGGCACCAATCCTCACCTCTTCGTCCGCTACATTGACTGTATCGATGCTGCATCTTGCTCCCAGAAAGAGCTCGAACAGTGCATCCATTTCACCAACCCCTTTCACCCTGACCTCAAATTCAGCTGGACCATCTCTGATACCTCCCACCCCTTCCTGGACCTCTCCGGCTCCATCTCCAACAACCAACATAGCACCAACATCCATTTCAAACCCACTGATTCCACAGCTACCTTGACTACATCTTCTGTCACCCGCTCTTCTGTAATAATGCAATCCCATACTCCCAATTCCTCCACCCCATCTGCTTCCAGGATGAAACATACCACTCCTCCTACTTCAAGGACCATAATTTCGCCTCTCCTGTGATTAATAATGCCTTAAACAACCACCTGCAATTCCCACACTTCTGTCCTCAAACCTCCTCCCTTCAACAACAATAAGGATGGAGTCCCCCTGGTCCTTATGTACCACCCCACCAATCTCCAAATCCAACGCATCATCCTCTGCTATTTACGTCACGTGCAATCAGACCCCACCACCAAAAACATATTTCCTTCCCCACCCGTATTTGCCTTATGTAGGGACCGCTCTCTCCTCGACTCCCTCATCTGCTCCACACTCCCCACTAAGCCTACCACCCCCAGCACCTTTTCCGTGCAACCGCAGGAAGTGCTACACCTGCCCGTACACCTCACCTCTCACGTCCATCCAAGGTCCCAAACAATCACTGCAAATCTGACAGAGATTCATGTGTACGTCATCTAACCTGGTTTATTGCATCTGTCGCACCCAACATGACATCCTCTGTCGGTGAGACCAAGTGCTGATTCAATGACCGATTCGTGCCCTCTGTATGCTCCAATCATCACCACCTTCCAGTATTTCACAATTCAATGACTATTTTTACCCCCAGTGACATGAGAAGTCATTGATTTTATTTTTGACCATGTCCCCTAATTATCTGTAGCACATTCTGTAATCAAAAATGTTGTTTGTGGTCCCTGTTTTGTGTAAATAAAATATCTGTATTTGATAATCTTAAAAAAAGAGCAGCCCTGAAGAAGGGTAATACCCAAAATGTTGACTGCTGCTTTCCTCCAGATGCTGCCAGGCTTGCTGTGTTCTTCCAGCCTCCTCTTTGTCTACCTTGGATTCCAGTACCTGCAGGTTTTTTTTCTCTCAAAGGCTGTGGAATACATGAGTTTTGACAGTCCATGTTAAGAAATAGCGAACTGAGTTAGCAGTTTGTTTTAAGAGTCTTTAATGCAAGATGCTTGAGTGTGGAGATGGGGCGTCTCTTCAGTGATGTTAGAGCGTCTGTAAGCATAACGCTGGGATAAATCTTTCCAATGTTTGGAAAGAAATAATTCCAGTAGTTCCTGTGCAATTTTAAAGTAGTTTTTATTCTATGTAACAACGTGATCTTTTGTTAAATATACATTGGCAGCCTCTTGTGAATATGTTCAATATCTGACCTTTATAGTAAACAAAGGAAAATTAAAACTTGTCCATCAAGCCAGGTTTCACTGTGCGATCCGATTTGCCCAGTATCGCCATGGGGTCATAACTGTTCAAACACCTTAATGATGGGCTAGGGCAAGAACAGAGAAGGAAAGTAAAGAAAGCAAGTTACATTCTGGGTCCCATTAACTACTTGGGATACCTCTCCCCATGTGCCCAAAGATCTGAGTCAAAAAAAGACTCTTTTTTTGGTTTTGTTAAGACCTTGGGTTGATGTCATCCTTGAAATAACGGACAATAACTGTGACACTTGAGGCAGACTAGCTTTTCATAGATTATACTCTTTAATCCTCAGCAGAAGTGCATTATATGAAGCTAACCCATCCCCAGTGGATCTGATGTGCTAAAGGGTCAACATTTTGGATACAAGCATAACAATCTTGGGAATTTAGTCTCACTAGTAACGTGATGACACTTATTAGTTGTAGAAGAAAACAGCATCACACAATATGGCACAGTTGGGTTGGGGGTTGTGGGGTATAAAAAAGCAGAAAGGCTAAAATGGGAAAAACCCTTTCTTCAAAACCCAATTACATACAAATTGATGCAAAGTAACAGGATAAGACAGATATTATGGGTAGGGAAAGAAATAAAAGTTAGGAGTGTATTTCCAGCGCAAGACAAATCACAGTGGATGAGTTATTTTCTTTCGGCTTTCTTTTGACTCCTTCTGATTCTTTGCTGGTAATTTGAGGTTGTGAGCATGACCAATAGTCAATCTTTCATTTACAAGTTCAGGATTCACCCTTTCAGTGTCCCTAAAGTGGTTGCTTTCCTTTCCTTTCAATAGGGGATCTGCAGAGGGAGCAGCTTGCAGAGAAAGGTGATGGAGAATAAATAGAGACACTATGCTTTGTGTTGCACAGTTCACATAGGGATGTAGCCACCAGCACAGGAAGCAATCAAGTGCTTGTCACCATGGTGAGCCCTTGACCCGACAAAACTGATTCTGAAATAACTAACCACATCGAATGATAATTCCTGGGCAAGATTGCTTTAAATACATACAGGCAGTGCTATTGTGTCTAGACTTTCCTGCTGTGCTTAAATAAAGCAACATTGTAGATACATATCAACATGGTCAAGTAACTTGCTTTTAAAACTGCAAATATCTCACACAGTTTCCCTGGTTTTTCCCATTTTAGCCTTTCTGCTTGGTTGAAGGAATCTTGTGGTCAGTTTGGATATGTTCTTGATGTATGGTAACATGATAAGTGTGTCAGGATGTAGCTGTTTGGGTATCCATTGTCCTTAAATACTTGGTAGAGGTATTCTCTCTCTCTCTCTCTCTCTCTCTCTCTCTCTCTCTCTCTCTCTCTCTCTCTCTCTCTCTCTCTCTCTCTCTCTCTCTCTCTCTCTCTCTCTCTCTCTCTCTCTCTCTCTCTCTCTCTCTCTCTCTCTCTCTCTCTCTCTCTCTCTCACTTTCTCACACACACTCTGTCACTTGCGCGCTGTCGCACTCGCGTTCTGTCTCTGGCGTGCGTGCTCTCGCGCTCTCTTTTTCTCTCTCTCTCTCTTTTTCTCTCTCTTTTTTTCTTTCTCTCTGTCTGTCTCTCTCTCACACCGTAAAACTTAATACCAACAAGCTGAAATTATTGTTCCATGTGGTGCCAGTCGCCTGCACTTTTTGACTCTCACTGGTTTACAATTATGGCTCCAGAAAGACTGAGGTTATTTAAACCCATCATAGAAATAGACCAAAACCCACTTGCTATTAGTTTGAACTCCAGATTCTAAAATGATTTACATATATTAATATTATTTATACATCTTGCATCACAAGAGAATAGCATGCAAATCCAAAAACCATGTCAACTTGGGCTACTACTCACTCAGGGATAGTAAGAACTGCAGATGCTGTAGTCAGAGATAACACAGCAAGCCACGCAGCATCAGAGGAGCAGGAAAGTTGGTGTTTTGGGTCGGGACCCTTCTTCATTTTCTGAAGAAGGGTCCCGACCTGAAACGTCAACTTTTCAGCTCCTCTGATGCTGCCTGGTCTTCTGTGTTCCTCCAGCTCCACACAGTGTTACCTCAACTTGGGTTACTCTTGTGTATGCACTAATTGTTGGAGTGAAATTTTAAACCTGCCGCCTTTGTCTTCCCATTTCTTTGTGCTACCTTTTCAGATTTTGACTATGTTATGTAGTACAATGGCAACCATTTTTTACTGTGCTAATATAACCTCATTCAAGGTAGCTGGGTGCATGCTAATATTAGTAAGCACTTCGTTGAAACAAAAATGTAAAATGCTGGTAATTGAGCTTTTATGATGCATATACAGTTGCACTAGTGAAGTATAAGGGACTGATCTGTGGTCTCTAGAAACTTATTTCCCATCTTTTTTTAATCAAAACCTATGTTCTCAATGTTTCTGCTCTTAATTTTATTTCATATTGTTACTAAGGATGGCAGAAACAACAGTCTACTTTAGTAGTATCATTACCTGACACATTAACTCTTTCTCTTCACAGAATGCAGACTGACCTGCTAAGCATTTCTAGCATTTTCTATTTTTATTCCAGATTTCCAGCAGCATCATTCTCACTCATTTTTTTTCATCTGCGTGGACCTCAGGTTCATCCATGGCTGTGACTTCCGGTTCCTGATGTGAAGTGTTAGTGCATTGATCGCAATGTGCAAACCTTCAGTGTGTGTGCAGCGATGCAACTTACAGAATGTTGATATCAAGTATTTTGTTCTTGTTTTGTTGATGTTAATATGGTCTCCCTTTTTTTTTTTGTTTCCCAGGGTGTTATTGACTACATTTTCTATTCCAAGACTCTGATGAACGTGTTGGGCGTTCTTGGCCCTTTGGATCCTCAGTGGCTTGTGGACAATTCTATCACCGGATGTCCACATCCTCATATCCCCTCTGACCACTTTTCACTGTTAATACAGCTTGAACTTCAGCTTTCCTTGCCACCATTGATGAATGGTGTACATTTACCCAGCAGGAGGTAGTGAATCCCTATCATGGAAGCACTACTCACTTTTACGGACATGTACAGTTGTAAAGTCAAAGTATGAAGGAGTGAAGTATGGCCTGTGAAACCTTTATTTGTTCTTTTTATTACAAAAAAATGTATGTGTTCTATATGTTTCTAGTATACTGTTTATTTCACTATTAACACTAAGGCTGGAACAAACAAAAACTTGCTTTGAAAAGGTTTATTACTCAGACCTTTGGAGACACTGGAGATCACATTCCTTACAACTCTGAAAGCATTGTCTTACAATATTGTGTGTCAAGTGTTTGGGTTTTGCTGTTGGATTATGTAAATAATCTGGCATTGAAGCAGCAGAATTACGTGCTTTACAATATGGTGCCATTGACTTCTTCTCCAAAGACCAACAAGCAGAACATCTTCAGATGTTTGTTCTGAGCTTTGCCCCTTTTTTGTTTAGATCTGTTCATAAATCATGATTGAAATCATATTGACTCATTTCACGGGTTTGAGTGAGAATTTTTGATATCTTTCTATTTGTTTATCCTTGTTTTCCTTGCCTGTCTCAATCATATGTTTTTTTATAGTTCACTTTAATTCTTTGGTGCTTCTCTTTTCAACTTTTGATGGCTGATCAACAGTTTGCCTCGCCTCTCTGGCTCTCTGCCACAGCTAAGTGGAATCTCTCGGGGCAGATCCTGAGTCAAGAGACAATTGAAACCAAAAGGTGGAGGTGGTGGCCAGGAGACAGGGTTGGTTCTGTCCAGCTGTGACTTGATTTGACATTTGCCTTTTTTGTTCAGAATGAGATTCATATCTGGTTTCATGAAAGAGGATACCCATTGGTTATTGATCTGTATAGAAAGAAAGAGAGAGTTGGACAGAAGATTCAGGTTTTTCAAACTACTTGTTTATTGAGCGTATATTACAGCAAATGAAAATGAACTATAGAATTTTAAATTTATCCTATTGCCTTATAAAGCATTTTTGTAAAAAGAAAAGAACTACCATTTAGATTTTGTCTTCCCAGTTGAACTGGCAATAATTTACTCCTTTTTGGGGAGAAAGATAATCGTGGACATAACAGCCAATAGCTGCTTTGTCATCAGCCAGTCAAAGGTACAATTCAATATTGGTCTATCGGACAAGACCACATTTTCTATTCCACAATGAATTAAACATGCAGCAAGCAGTGATTGAGGTGCACCATAAATAATTTGAACACAGTCAGGTAAAGCACCTAAAAGATTACTGTACTAAATAAGCACCATCTGATGGTCGTTAATTCTCATGTTGTATACTCCCAACAACCTACTGCACTTTATAAAGAAATTGGGTTTTCATTGATGCAGTTATAGTTTATCAGTCTAATGGGCCCCTTCAACTATATCCCACCCCCATTTAAAAAGACAGACTGCATTTTAAGAACCCACTTTGAAAGTTTAATCTTCTTGATTTTGAATCAGACAGACAGCATATCTTCTGATGTGTAAAATCTGTTTTTTTAGTTTAATATATAATGCTAGTGTTACATCAAATAAAGTTCATAAGTGGACAAGACCTAGTTTTAGAATTTGCCAATAACCTACTTTTGATATCTTTGACTGGATTCTTGACTTCAAGATTGTTTGTTTGAAATCTGAAGCTTTAAGTCAGCACTTTAATTCTGCAACCTCATAACTTTTCATGTTTTTAAGGACATGAAGTATGGAGCAAGATAAAGCTAATGAGAATGAAAGAAACTGGAGGCACCAACTAAATTTCAAGCTTTTTGTTTTGCATTCACTTCTGGTGAAAGAATTTGAACTTTTTAGCCCCTTTTTTAAAATTCCCAGGCTTCATGTGCTTAAATTTTTTTTGTGATGACCCTGCTTGTTAAAACACTTACTTCCTTCATGCATTTCTTTTAATAACTATAAGCAATATTAACTTACCATACTTCACTCCCAATATTTTGTCAGATCAGTTTGTATAAAATGGAATTTAAAATTTACCTATAATGGTTGTATATGAACTACAGAAGAGCCCAATTACTGGATTTTTCGCTTTGTTTTTTATAATTGAAGAGGAAAACAGTTTTTGGGAAAGCTTACTGTTAATAGCTGCAAATTTTGTCTGCTTTCAGTATAAAAAGGATCGAGACACTCTGTTGCAAGAGGATGTTCATCAGGTTTTCTTTGCTTCTGTATGCATTTTTCCAGAGTTTCAACAACTGTGTACTTTAAAAATAGATAAGTGAGGGAAAGAACATTTTAAGAAAAAAAACAATGAAATGGAGATGATAGTAAGTTTTGTTATGTGTGTGTTTATCTTAATTGTTCAGGCAAAAAAAATAAAGAAAGCACAGTCAGATTCATGTACGTTTCTGTTATATTTTGTCCCTCGTTTCATAACAATGTGCCTCATTCAATTTGCCCAAGCAGCTGCACTGCCCAAGCAAGCAGAGAAAACCTGACAGGCCTTCTCCAGGCAACTTTTAAAATTCTATACAATAAATCTGTTAAGATTTGTGAGATTTTATGTAAAAAAAACACATGAAAAACAACTTAAAAACAGTTTTGTACAAGCTCTGTAATGTGTTTAACTTTGGTGTAAGAAGTGTGGGACATTGGAAACCGCATCATAAGTCAGATATGGCACAATGATTTCTGAGATGAGCTTTATTTCTGTCTCATTCCCAGCACTGCTTGTCTTTTGTTTTTATTTTGTGTAATGCAGGAGTGTACTACCTTTAGCGCAAAGCCAGCAAATGCGTGAAGGTTTTTGTCACTTTCTGGGTATTGTGCATTTTGATGTGGAGAGATTCCCTTTCTTGTTCAATACCCTTCACTCCCTTATCAAATGTACTTACTAGCTCTCAATGGATTGAAAAGCTACTGAATTTCAGTCTTTCAAGGTTTCATATCACTCAGTACAAAAGCATATATATTGGATAATGTCATTTAAAATGAAGTACGGGTCTCATGACTTAAGACAGTCACAAAAAGCAGGTTTTTGTAATAGTAATTATATATTTCTATGAATCGCATATGGCAGCTTCATATTCACTAAGCTGCAGATAACCAAAAAAAGTGCTTATTTAAAACCATGAAGCACGATCAAAAATATACCGTGATCTCAGCCTTTAATGCATAGGTACTTTTACATTTCAATAAAGGAGCACTACAAAATTGGCCTAATTAAATGGTGGGTTTTCCAAACACACTCTCTAATAGGCAATTTATAAGTAACTGCTGACATTTTTAAATTAGATCAGTCATTGAGAATTGGTGACAAGTTGCACTTTTGATTAGATCTAGAGAAACCTGATTTGTTTTGACATGCTGATTTTGTTAATACCTAATTGAAACAGTAAAACTTTTGCTGATTTGGTGGATTGCAGCTTCCTCCTCACACTCTCTCTCTTTTTTTCACCTTTTCCCCATTCTTCTCCTCCACTTCCCTCCCCCCGCCCCCCGCACCTCAAAAATAATGCTTTTGGGCCAAGAATAAGTTCAGATGGAGAATGACAAATTGGGTCAGAATGTTTGCATGTTGTATGTCAGTAGCAGAAGATATAAGGTATTGGTGAAATGATTCTAGCTAAAGTTATTCTATCCTACAGACAGTAAAAAGGATGCTCATTAATATTTCTATTATGCTGCATTTGGGCTCTATTGTGGAAAGTGGAAATAAATTTAAATTTAAAAAACAAAAGATTTTGGACATAAATTCCAAATAAGGTTTTAAAAAATACTTGGATATATTTGTTGGGAAATGGGCAGTGAGATTTTAGAGTGATGTGTAGTTAAGTGTTAGTTAAATTACTGGGGGATTCAGTGCATGTTTTTAGATGTTGCGTTATTTATGTGCAACGCCAAAAAAATGAGTGATATGATTCTTTTTGAGACCTATGGTGCTTCTGTCTGCAAAGCCTTGCCTGTATTGTATTAAAGGAATATAGTTTGTAAATGTGGTAGCAATGATTTAGTTTTTTTTAAACGTGAATCAGACATTTTCAGCATTTGACCACCTTTATTTTTTTAACATCCTTTTTAAAAAAATATATAGTTTTTGCTATTAGAAATTTATCATGGTGGTTAATAGGAAATGAAAGTGGACTGTGTTGCATCACCAGTGTCTGTATAGAACCATTGGTCACTGGATAGTGTTTGTTTCCCTGAACTCTGAGCAGTTGGATGTTATTTTTCTTTCGTTCGTTCTTTCTTCCCAACACCCCAACTCCCAACAATCTTTTATTTTTATATATTATTTCTTCCTGAATACTCTGCAAAGGGTAAAAATGTAAAGGTTTAGTAAAAGTAAATTGCCTCCTACTGATGTGATAGGTGCTATTTTACTTGAACTAAATAAGCATGAAGAAGTTATTGGATGTTCACCAGCTGATTTTTGTTTTCCCCTCTTAAAATCAGTCCAAAAATGAAACTGCTTAATTTACGTAAGTATTTTTGCATTATCCAATCTGCTCTAGATTTATGTTTTTTGTCTCCAGTTATTTAACTGCAATGGAAATATACCAACTAAGCCAGTAACTGTACTCTCAGTCTGTCTTTGAGCTTGTGACAGTTCAGCAGAGATGCTTCACTTGTACTACTATGTGAAAGATTTAAAAAGATGAGTATTTTTCCATATGGAGTTCGGGTACTGCTCTCAATGTATGGGGCTAAATTATGTCTGCTTGTTCCCTTGCACCTGTGTAGTTTTTTTTTTCTTTCCTTTTTGATTAGGCAATAAATGGTCATTTGAAAATTATTCTTTTGTGTTTAATGAGTCAAAACTGTAAGGGAGAATGACATTGAGGTTTCTGTCTGCCACCCTTTTTAAAATTTAATGAGTTGGTTTTATTTCCACATATTTTGGGGTAAAGTTATGTTGTGTGAGTGGTCCAGAGACCTGGACCAGTGATCTAGAGACATGAGTTCAAATCTCGCCTTGGCAGCTGCAGAATTCCAATTCTCTTAATTAAATAAATGTGCGGTAAAATGCCAGTATCAGTAATAGTGACCATGAAAGTACTAGATCATCATGAAAACCAATCTGTGTTACTAATATCTTTATTGGGCAAAATTATCTGTCCTCTGTGCATTGGTCTGGCCCTATGTAATGCAAGAGTTTTAACAATATGATTGACTCTTAATTGTCCTCTGAAGTGGCTGAACAAGGCACTGAGTTGGATTTGAAGATCACTCTCTTGACCACCATTTCAAGGACAATTATGGTTGGGCCATAGTGTAATCCACATTTGTGAATGAATTTAGAAATGCTAGTATGCAAGTAATCACATTATTTTACCTGGTGTTGTAAAGTCAAAGCTATAACTTCCGATGTTTGTTTAGTCTCCAAATTTTCCCTCATGCTGAACTTTGATACTGTGGGGCAAAATGGTTTCAGAATTAGAACAAGTAATTTCCTATCTGTATCAAAGATTAAATAAGGGCATTGACCTAATACCCTAGGGATGACATAAAAAAACCCTTCTAGGGCACAGACTCTCAGTAGGTTTTATGCTTTGACTGGTTAATAATATTCCTAATGCATGGTTCTGACCTATTTTGATTTATTTTTCTTCTTCCCTCTTTCCCCAAGGTTAGTGATGAATTTTTCTACCACAGAAAAATATAATTACAGGTTGGTTTCCTGTACATTGTAAAGTTGAAAGTCACAAGTACACAAATCACAAGGCTTGGGTAGAGAATGCCCATTCAGAATTTCTCATTCTGTGGTTTTGGTCATTGCTACCTATTTAAGTAGTGAACTGTTGTAACTTCTGTGGTTTTAAAACATCTGCAGGTGGTTGTCATTTAAGTTGAAGGAGAAATTTAAGATCCATCTCATCTATGGTTGAGGGTAGCAATGATTGAGTATTTGCTTGACGAGTTCATAGAATCATACAGTGTAGAAGAAGCCCTTCAGCTCATTGGGTCTGTACCAACATGTGAGAAACATCTGACCTTCAACCTAAACCCATTTACCAGCATTTGGGCCCATAGCCTCGAATGTTATGACATGCCAAGTTCTCATTCAAAGTACTTCTTAAAGGACGTGAAGCAACTATCACCCTCTCAAGCAGCATATTCCAGACCATCACCACCGACCAGGTAAAAAGATTTTTCCTCCTATCCTGCACCTCTGCCAAACCTTCCAAGCTCTCACCTCAATTCCATGCCACCTTGTTCCTGACCCTTCAACTTAGGGGAGCAGCTGCTCCTTATCCATTCTGCTCATGCCCGTCATAATGTTGTGTACCTCAAACAGATGGCCCCTTGGTCTTCTCTGCACCACCAAAAAACAACTGAAGCCTATCCAACATTTCCTTTATACCTGCAATTTTCCAACCCAAGCGGCATCCTGGTGAAACTGCTCTGCTCCCACCCACCCCCCCGCCCCATACAATCAAATCTTAGAATAATGTGGCAGAACTGCACACAGTATTCTACCTGTGGTCTTGCCTAAGTTCTATACAATTTCATCATGACTTCCCTGCTTCTGTAAACTATGCCTCGATTGATAAAGGCAAGTGTCCCATATGCCTTTTTCACCACCCTACTAACATGCCCTTCCATCTTCAGAGATCTATGGACAAAGATGCCAAGGTGACTTTGTTCCACAGAACTTTCTAGTGTCATTGAATACTTGTCAAGTTACTCCTTCTGAAGTGTATCACCTCTCACTTTTCAGGGTTGAATCCCTGTGATCACTGGGACACTTGACTGTGTTTCTAATTTTATCTTTGCAAATTGTTTCAGAAACCCAACATATTTCTTTTGGCAAATATAAAGCTAATACTAAACCAACAAGACTGATAGAATGAGGCAATTATAGAATTTTTGACAACATATTTAAGTATGTTGAACAATGACAGGTGAGAATTGATCAGAAGTCTTCAACATTGAGTGCATGCTGCCTCGTATTCAATGAATGCTTTTCGCATAGGAGTTGCAATCCCTAAAACTTCAGTTCAATGTGCATTTCTAATCAATACAGGTTGGCAGTCACCATAACTAACAATGTTGAATAGTGTAGCGAATGTAGAATACAAGAGTCATACAGGTCATATTGGACTTACTGTTAACTCAATTTCTCTCTGCAGATGATGCCAACTTACTGAGTTTCTCCAATAGTTTTTGTTTTACATTTATAGGAGAAAACAAGTCTGAAATTTTGACTTACTAAAGCATTATACAATGAATTTCCACCGAACAAACAGAAAAGGTGGACATTGAAAATTAACCAGTTTACTTGCCTGTACTGAAGCTGTCAAGAACTGATGGTTCAAATTTTAACCATACACAACTGAGCAGATAGCAAAGGCATTTGTATCTTTTTTTTTTGTACATATGTCATTGGGGTCCCCGACTTCAGTTTTAACTTTGCAGCCTGAGCAGTAAGTCAGAATGCCTTTTCTGCAAGGTGAAGCTGTGCAAAAGAACACTTACTGCCTCTTCTCTGCCAAGAAAAGATAGCTTGTTATGCCATTTCCATCTTACTATGGGTGTGGAATCTCATGTATGCCGGATCTGGTATTGATCACAGATGTCAGGGAAAGGACATGTGTGAAGCAGATGGGTTACATGTGAATTTTTAAAATGCAACATGTGGAGATCAGGACATGACACAAGGTACAGGAAATTGATAATATGAACATGGTTTCAAAACTGATGAAAGGCAGAAATGGGGGAATAATTTTCAATCAGTAGCTTGAGAACTAAAATATAATAAAGGAAGTTTAAAGAACTTGGGAGGTTTAGATGTATTTTTTTTAGAAAAGGAGATTACATTGATCAGTTTGGATTGATGAGGATACTGACTATGGAAAGAGATGATGTAAAAACTATCAAAATAATTTCTTCAGTGCTGTCAGAATATTGTCAAGATTTGGAATTTGAACTTGGGGAAGGATGGCAAAATTATGAAAATGTTGTAACAGTGATTCATTAACTTGGTACTCTGATGGGAAATTTTTTTCGTGAGGAGAAAATAGACTCTTCAATTGGATCAAAGAAGGAAAAGACTTGGCCTAATAAAAATCACATATGGCATTCTGATCTGGTACATAAGATGACAAATACTTGCATTCATCAGTGAGTCACTAGCTAGAAATCTAACATAATCTTATCAGCAAAAGAGATTTGGTCTTTTAATAACACATGGTTGGGATTTAGTGCAGCAGCTAAATACTGAGTAGCATGAAAAGATACACACTTGAAAGAAATAATAATTTGATCAGCCATAAGCATATTGAATGGCAGAGCAGGTTCAAAGGGCTAAATGGTCTTCTACTTGTAGTTTCTATGATAGGGTGGGGAAATGAATCTGTTTTGTATATTCTAAGAGTTGCTATAAGCATCTTGGGTTTCATGATCTATTTCTGTGTTGTAAAATTGGATTCCAGATCTATCCAAAGGATCTTTGATTCTTCTGCTCCTTAAGCAGCTCCAAACCCTTAAAGTTTGCAATAGCACGCAATGTCTTGCTTTGTCAGATTTTCTCAGATGTAACACATCTTTAGTTATGGTGGAAATGAATCATGCTCTGCCTTATTTCCACTGTGACTTTCTGGGCTTTTAAAAGAGGAAGTTGGCTTCAATACGCTGAATGAACAAGGCCACTTTCTGAGGTAGGTATAAGTACAGATGTAACTTTGAGGAATGTACTTTCCACAGGAGCGTTATAAGCATTGTGAGTTCACAAGAACCTTAAATAAATCATCTTAATTAATGGGACCTCCCAATGAGAGAAAATGAGACTGCTAGGAGCCCATCAGTAATATTAGAATGTGGGCACTGAAGTCGTTCCCAGCTCCATTTTTTTTACAGCAGTAGCGGTGGGAGCGAGGACCAGAGGGCTGCCGGGAGGTAAGTTTTTCATTTTGGCAACGGAGCTGAGTGGGAGCGGTCGACTTGCGCGCTCGGAACGTGAGTGAACTGATATATTTGGGCAGGTGTCCCCTGCAGTCATCTCCCTCCAAAACAGGTATACTGTTTTGGATACTGTTAGGGGAGATGGCTCACCAGGGGAAGGCAGCAGTAGCCAGGTTCATGGCACCGTGGCTGGCTCTGCTGTACAGAAGGGCGGGAAAAAGAGTGGAAGGGCTATAGTCATAGGGGATTCAATTGTAAGGGGAGTAGATGGGCGGTTCTGTGGTCGAAAATGAGACTCCCGAATGGTATGTTGCCTCCCAGGTGCACGGGTCAGGGATGTCTCGGATCGACTGCAGGACATTCTGAAGGGGGAGGGTGAACAGCCAGCTGTCATGGTGCATACAGGCACCGATGATATAGGTAAAAAACGGGATGATGTCCTACAAGCAGAATGTAGGGAGTTAGGAGCCAAGTTAAAAAGTAGGACCTCAGAGGTAGTAATCTCAGGATTGCTACCAGTGCCACGTGCTAGTCAGAGTAGAAATGAAAGAATAGGCAGGATAAATGAGTGGCTTGAGAGATGGTGCAGGAGGGAGGGGTTCAGATTTTTGGGACATTGGGACCGGTTCTGGGGGAAGTGGGACTATTACAAATTAGACGGTCTACACCTGGGCAGGACTGGAACCAATGTCCTAGGGGGTGCTTTTGCTAATGCTGTTGGAGAGGGTTTAAACTAATGTGGCAGGGGGATGGGAACCAAATGATGAGGTTAGTGGACAGTAAGGAGGCAGTAACTAAAGCCTGCAAGGAACTAGATAATGAAGTCAGTGTGACTAAGGGGAAGTGTAGGCAGAGAGCAGATGATGAATGCAAAGGGGCAGGTAGTCTGAG